GTGTAAAGACAAGTCTAGCCCAAACCCAATGTGAATCCAACAAGCTTAAAGGCCAAAGGAAGACCCATGTGTTTAGGGTTTCTTACAAGTATTTTCAGATATAAATATATATCAATGTTTTAGCTCTTAGTGATAGTAACCTTTGGCTGCTAAAACGCAGCCTCTCCTTGAAATCAATCTAAGTCCTTTGTTCTTGGTGACAATGCCAAAGTCTTTCCTTTCTCTTTTGTATTTGCATTATAATAAAGCTCCTTGATGAGCCTACTTAGATTTTTGTCTTTATTTTCAATCACAATAAAGCTCTTTGAGCTCAAATCTATCTTGGTTTGATTTTACTTACAATCTTCACGAGTACAAACACTGTTAGTAATTCTGCAAGATTTTTCTCAACCAGTATCTTGAGCCGCCTAAACAACATGGTACATTTCCAACAACAACAAAAAAGTGATTTCTTGTTACCAGAAAAATCGAGGGAAGATATAAGTTCAGATTTTGCGTTTTCCGAGTTTAGACTTAAGAGGTTTGTTTAATACCTGTCTGTAATCGAGTTTTAGAAATTTGTGTATTCTTTCTTAAACCAAAAAAAAAAGCAGTTTCTGTATTGAAAACAAAGTTTACTTTCCATGTCCTGCCATTTATCTGCCCTTAATAAAAGCATACTAACCATATTTCTCATCACAGGATCGGAACGAAAGGTCTAAAATTATTTACAGACCAATGAAAGTTGAAATATATACAAAATGCAGAAACATTGTAATCATTACTTGTAAGTCAAGAAAAAACTCTTTATTTCTAGGGTCTAATATATTTCTAACAGTGACATGATGTGCTAATAATAACTCTGTATATGTGCCGTCGCAGTTTCAAGCAGTCCCTATGGAGTCTTGTCCCCAAGAAACCGCGAGGTCGAATTTATTGCATCATCTCTAAGGAAAAAAACAAATTAGTTGTCTTTTGAGTAACTTAAAACCCTAAATCATCTGTTGTTGCTGCTGAATCACCAACACGGAAGCTTGGCAATTAAGATCCTGTGAAGTCAATAGATCTCCAATCACACCAAGCTCCTCAAACTCACTCCATTGCTCAAGTCCGTCAGTGAGAACACTCTTCCTTCCTTTCTCTCTTCCGACAATGAACAGATCATACTCATTTGCAATAGATCTTAACAGATCTGATGTCTGGGACGCGTCATCCACTACTTCCTCCGAGAAGAAAAGGTCTGTACCGGCTAGACCGTTGCTCTTCACTTCTCTGAGTTGTTCTAAATCGAGCATTCGCTCCCAATCCATTACTGGATTGGCTTTCTGTTCGGAAGAAATCAGACTAATCACGGTAACCTTTATCCGTGAGTCACGGCCCATTCTCTTGGCGAGTGTTAAAGCTTCTCTGTCGTCTTTACCTCCAAGGAAGAGCATACAGACTTGGTAAGATGAGAAGTTCACAGCGGTCTCTCGGATTGTTCTCCGGCAAGTAATGCTCCGGTAAATGAAGATCCCGACAGAGCAAGGAGAGAGCTCGAGGACACTCTTGTTCAACTTCCTGATCATGTTGCTGTCTGAAACAATGGATGTTCCATCAGCGGACCAAGTCTGGTGAAAGGGAAGGATGACTAGCGACGTTGTGTTGTTGAGAGCGAGCATACATATGTCTCCGTGCATCGTCTTGGGGACAGATAAAGCCGTGTAGGTGCTTACGAAAGCAGAGCCAAAGAAATCTTTGTGGAACTGGTCGAATGAGACAGTGACGGCTTCCGAATTATAAGCCGTGTTTTCGCTTTTACGGGTTTGCAAACGGTGAGATATGAAAACTGGATTGGCTTGTCCTACGAGCTCCATCAAGTGAAGGACGTAAGTGGCTACTGGATTTTCTTTTGAGGGACAAGTAGCTTCAAGGAGATTGATCATGGGACGGATATCGTCAGTTCTGTAGATACAGGATAGAATCCTAAGCTCGGAATTTGGTTTCATGTGAAGCATGTTCCGCTTCTCGTATCCTGCGTACATCCTCGAAGGATCATATATGTATCTCAAGATCGGAGGGATGATTGCAGAGTTCAACAAGATGTAAAGAGATAAAACAGTGAAGGTCACGGGCCGGATAGTCTGCAATGAAAATGAAAAGAACTCTAAGCTCAGCCGGGCGCTTTGTATCAAAATGTGTTGGATGGGATTTGTCAACATATTTATAGAAATCTACACTTACCCCTCTTTGAAATCCTAAAGCATAAGCGCCGAGCTCAAAAATGCCTTTGAACGACATAATAAGAGACAGAGCAAGGCAGTCATTTGCAGGGATACGGAAAAACAAGGCAGGGAGAGTCGTGAGAGCGAATTTGACAAGAAACGATAGAGATATGATGATCAAAATACTCTTGGAATCAGTCCAAGAACGTAATGTCGAAATATTGAGCTCTTCGGCGGACGTAGCCACAAAGAACGGAAGGAATGTACCAAAAATCGCAGGCTCGAACTTCTGAATGATTGCAGAGCCCAAAGGCGGACCGTGCGGAACAGCTAGACCTAAGATGAAAGGTCCCATGAAAATAGACTGCTTGCACCAGTCCGCAAGAACGGCAGATCCAAAGACAAGAATGATGATCGCATATATATAGAAATTCTTCACTGGACGACCAGAAGGCGTTCTGTTGACAATGATGAACATCAATGGCCTGAAGACGTGTATGGAAAAACAAACAAAGACCACCACTGTCCCTGCACGCATCAAAGGGCGGTTTCCGACTATAACGTCTCCGATAAATATGGATCCAAGCCGAGTTTTCTCGTCCTTGAGTTCCTTTAAGAAGGCGAGAACCGCAGCGAGAATGGAAGTGCTGAAGTCACTGACCACTGCAGAAGAAATAGCGAGACGGCCAAGCTCTGAATTCTGGAGCCTGAGCTCAAAAAGAAGGTTTCCAATTACAGGAAACGACGAAAGGCATTGGATCAAGTAGATCAAGATGATTTCAAAGAAACTCAAAATGGGTTCTCCCTTTTTGGTTCCTACATCTCTTAGGACGACGAAGAAGATAAAGGAGCAGACCGTTATAGAGAGTAACACCGAGGAGAGACCAATTGTTATGGCTTTCTTCCCGGTGTTGCGGATCAGACCCAAGTCCATTTTAACTCCCATCAAGAACCAAAACATCATGTAGGAACACGCGCCCACTAGACCAACCACAGTTTCTTTGTAGTCTTCCGTTGAGAAGAAATGTCTCGCGGGTGTATTCTCCGTCAAAAACGACTTGCTTAAGAGAATCCCAGTCTGCAAACCACACACAACACAAAGCATGAATATTTCTTGTTTTTTGCAAGCTGGAATCAAAGAAGAAACATTTCAAGATTCAACTTACAAGCATATGGGAAGTGAAACGAATCATGCCGAGGCGTTTGAGGAAGAAATGGAAGAATTGCCAGAGGACGGTGACGATTAGGAAAATGATCTGAACATGTGGGAACATGTAATTCCAGAACTCAATGTTCGCGTTAGGATCTCGAAGCTTTGGGGATGGCCATAGCCCGCTCGAGCTTGGGTTGTTAGGGACGACACCGCAGATCGTGTTTGCATCTCTCCATGTGTCTCTAAGGTAAAGGCTCCTATCACCTCCCAACTCCATTAGACAAATCTTTGTAACGAGAACAACGATGATAATAGAGACGAGACGAAATGACTATAAATCAAATTAAAAAGCTACAACTGTTTTAAAACAAAAATAATCATCAAACTAAAAAGCCACAACTGTTTCAAAACAAAAAGATTTGGTAACAGAATTGGAGAGAAGCAGTGAAACAAAATACACCTGGGTTTTGTCATTATAGAAACAACTCTCTAAATATAGTCAATTTTGTGGGGGGGAACATACTCTACAGGTTTCTGATTATTTGTTAGTTTTTTTTTTTACAGCTTGTTAATTTAAACGTCTCTCCACTTCAACAGACAAATGAATACCAAATAACTTCAAGAAAACATCATAACTTGAAGAACTTGTTATGTTCTTTTAATATCTCCAGATTCCAAAATAACTTCAATAGTTAGAACAAAAATACAAATGTAGCAAAGATCTACAAGAAAAACTTCACAAACTTTAATCCTCAGCCACAAGCGGCCACTCTCCTTTCCCTTTCTTTATGTTCCTGCAACCTCAAAACACCAAACAAAGAGCAATGGTCGATCAGCTTATACATTTGCAGCTAAACCTTTTAACGCAAAACTCCATTTAAGGACCACTTCTTTGAGGACCAAGGTCTAAATGCTGGTATTCAGAGTTCAGAATTCTCGGTTTAACTACCTATTTCCATGCGAATGAAGACCAGACTAACATATTTTTAAAGGAAAAAGCCACATGATTGATCATGAAGAGTCAAGAAATACCCTGGGATGTAGTAGTAGTCTTGACTATTTGAAGGGTTAGTTGGCGAAAACGTTGAGCCTAACTCGAGCAGTGACATCTGGGTGAAGTTTGAGTTCAGCAATATATTCTCCAGTTTCGCGAATTTCTGGAAGAGAGACAAGGCGTTTGTCTATGTCCCTGCAAAACCCAGCCACAGAGAATCAGTGAAGACCATATTTGGTACTTGGAAGAACATTAAAAAGCATACACAGAGTGATCCTAATCAACCGCACAAGAAAGCTGCTAGCTTTTAATGTGGAACTCTCAAATTTTCTCTGTTATGTTACCTTTGAAGCTGTGCTTTGATGATGTCAACAAGGTCTTGTGCAGTGACCCTGCAGGAAAATTTGAAGTTAAGTAGACGCTAGACATGATTCTCAAGACCATTTTAATCTTGATTTCTTATAAACACGACTTACGATCCAAATATCTGTTTGCCTTTACCACCCTTGCGTTTAACCTTGAAAGCCCCAACAGTTTCAAATATAATTGCCAATTGTTGCGCCTCTTCTTTCACCTTAAAAGAGGTTTCACACAC